TTAGCAACGTTAGCTCTAGTTAGTTAATGCAAACTGCCTATTCTGGTTACCTGTGTAGTCTCAAGCCAATTCCAAGTCTTATTTCCCTAAGTCTTACTGTTTATGCTGTCGGGCAGTGCTGTGCAACTGCTGGCTGAAGAGCAGTATCTGTCATCAGTGCTGTGCAACTGCTGGCTGAAGAGTATCTGTCACGTACCAGGCATACTAGATTGAGAAGGTAAAGGTTAGCTGAAGAAGTAGTTTCTACGAGTAGCAATTAGTGAAGCACTGCAAAAGTTAATTTACCTGAGATAAATGAAAATATTGCTTAAAAAACAAACAACCCCCCCCCATGTACTCTCAGAAACAACTCCGTCCCATCCATCTTGATTCTCTGTATTCATCACCTATCGTGTTTTATTCCTTACAGACTAACCAAGTGTTTTTATGCTCCCTTTTTCCCCCTAGAGTTTTATAGAACCCGAATTTACAAACGAAACAAAAAACATTCTCTCACAAGCTTTCTGGGAATATATGCAAATGGTCTCATGAGTCTTTATCAAATCTTTAGATTATTCATCAGGTATATCACTGTTGGAGCAAGACTCTTGCCTTATGAAGCTGTTCCTCTGAAAGGACCTTTCTGTCTCTTTAGTTCATTGACTCATTTGTCTCAAAGCTTTCTGGGAAAGCATTTCCTTTTCTGTTGACCCTGGGTCTTGTGGGTTGTGGTGTTTTTTGTTTTTTTATTTATTTATTATTAGTAGTAACAGTAACTGTAGTTCTTCTGGAATTCCTCTGCATGAAAAAGTAAAACAACCATGCACTTAATTACTTTCAGCTATTAAATCTGAAATACTTACCCATTCAACTGTGTCTGTACGGATTTAGTTTTGAACAGCGTAACTGTCTAACTGTATTTAATTCTTTTCACAGCTAACATAAGCAGCTGATGGAATCTTAGTATTTTTAACAGTTAGTGATTGACAAGATTAGAATATTGTGACTCCCAGTGAGTGCTTGGTGTTCTGTGGTGTGCTAGCTCTTCAGGCGTGGTATCCGTTATTCCCCTGTCTCCGTCAGACAAAGTGATTAAAGACTTTGTGCTGGAGGAGGTCTAGTTAGGTGAAAGCTCCCTGCTCTGCCTTACACTTGGTTTTGAAGCCATTGGGAATTCAGCATCTGGATCGATATGACTTTGAAACCTCTTTTGCTGTGTTTATGCTAGGGTTGTTTACTGGTTGTTATCTGAGACAAGTTAAATGTACTATGGGTTGCATAGGCATTTGATACTGTCACAAGATAATGCAGTTGCTCTTGTGGACTGTGAGGTTACCAGACAAGCTGGAACTTGTACAGGTGTGTATTTCCAAGTACTAGAAAACTAATGAACATTACTTGGGGTGGAGAAGCTGTTGAAAGGCTTATTAGCTTGCAGTCCTTTTTTTTTTTTTTTTTTTTCCTACTGTATACACACTGTCTGATAAATCGTGTGCATTTGTCTTTCTCAGTTTCTTAGTGAATGTCCTTTCGAGAAAAGGATTTTGAACCTGGTAGTGACATTTTTTTATGTCTCTGCTGCAGTATCACCTGCCGCTTGAGACTGGTTTTGATGTCCACCTTGCTATAAGCAGGCCTTTTTAAAGGAAAGTTTGTAGTCTGAAACCTCTCAATACTGTAGTCAAGAGTTTCTGGGAAAATATCAAATAGGAAGAGGCCTAACTCCTTGGTTTCATGTCATTGAGGAGCTTTTAGCCCCATTAAGGGGGCTAGAAGTTAGTGCAGTGCCTGACTTTTTCTGGACCAAATACATAGACATCTACTAGATCTCTTAAACTGAGTAGAGTCTGTAATTTTTCCTGTCTCCAGGAGTGAGTGCTGAATTTCTATCTGCTTACCATCTTCTCCTTCAGTGATAGAAGAAGGTGGTTATAAAGGTGGTGGCATCCACCACCTTTATAAAAAGTTATAAGAGTTTATTAAACTGTATAAAAGTTAGAAAAGTGGTGACATCCATGGAAATCAGATGCAAGTGGTCTTCAACCAAATGTGGGCTGATAGTCACTTTGGGAGTCATCACGGTCTGCCATGCAGGAGTCCTGAAAACTTGATCTCTCAGCTAGAGAAAAACAAACTTTCCAAGGTATGTTGGTTTCATAGTGAATCAACATGTTAGTTCATATTTTTAAATAAAAATCTCAAGTGCTTCAGTCTAAAACTACTGAATTATAAACGTCTGCTGCTTTCTTAAACATGGTGTATGCAGCACTTATTTCAGTATTAGCACTTGCAACTTAAATCTGCTGAAATGAAGTTCACTATCTCCTGATCTGTATTTGAGAAGTGGATAGTGACCATAAATGGGCAAAATACTTCAATGAGCTCTCCAACTGTAGCTTTTTTTTTCCCCCTCCCCAAAAGGAAGTGAATGCAGAGAATGTATTAATTGTTTGGGTTTGTCCACGTGACAAGCTTATCTTCTCAGGCAAGCCCTTTTAAAAATCGAGTGTGTGTTAAATATGATGGAGGACATAAAACCATCATCTTAATAATCTTCTACTAGAAATTAAGTTAAAAATGCAAACTTTTTAGAACGAAGTTCCTAGTTAATATCTGAATTTGTGCTTTCGTAGTTTGGAAAACCTTGGCTTAAAGCCGTTGGAAAGTTTAAGATGAACTGATGTTACAAGCAGGCTGTACTTTGCTAAGTCTTTCACCAGGATCTATGTCCCAAACTTGGAAACAAACTAGCGAGTGCTTGCTTACGCTCAAAGTATAAAAGTGTTAGGTGACTATTCTACGTATTCAAAGAACATAAGGATGGTCATGAGAGCTCTGTACTGACACTTCAGTGGGTTGCGAAGTAGTCAAGCAGTGTGAGTGTGAGCTGTATCATAAAGGTGGAAAAGCATTATTTTGGCTGCCCTAAACGTAGTAGTGAAATACTGAATGCAAGAACCTTCTTTACTTGAAGCAATTTTCCTCTTGCGCTACGCTGTCACTGCCGTCATTGAGGTTCTTTGACATGCCACTGTAGAGTGCTTGCACGCAAGTATAAAAAAAGGCATCTGTTGTGTGCCCAGGCGTCCAAACAATCTTGTAGCTCTTACACATTCTTTCCTGTTGAGTAACTTGATCCACCTTCCATCATTATACTGCTTATTTAAATTTGGATACTTGGCAAAGCGGTGTCTCGTGCGCGTGTGTAGCACACAGAACGTGTTAGGTGATCCACAAGTTTCCAGTAGCAAACGAGATAATGTGGTGGCTTCTCCAAGTGTAAGCTGTGCAACTGTGGTAGACTTTTCTGCCCAGTGACTGTATCAAAACTAAGCAGCACAAGTAATTCCTGAGTTGATTGCAAGTAAGAGTTATTTAGAGAACGGAATTTTATTTTATTTTACCTATCTAAAAAT